GTTTATCTTGATGATCATAGTTTGATTATCACAGTTCATCATGATAGGGGGTATTGGTTTTTCAACCATAGGTAAGTCCATCAAGAGTTCACGAAGCCACTCTGCTTCAACAGTGGCAGTGTCTAATGTTGTGAATTCTGCTTCCATAGTTGACCTCGTTAAGATGGTCTGCTTGCAAGACTTCCAGGAAACAGCACCACCACCAAGTGTAAAAACATAACTACTTGTGGCCTTTATCTCATCAGCATCAAATATCCAATTTGAGTCACTATAACCCTCCAGTACCCTTGGATACCTGGTGTAGTGAATCCCATAGCTCGCGGTGCCTTTCAAATAGCGCTAACTCTCTTAAGCGCATGCCAATGATTATCTCCCGGTTTTGACACAAACCGACTCAGCTTGCTCACAGCAAAAGAGATGTCAGGCTTCGTGGCACTCACCAAATACATAAGCGAGCCAATAATCTGAGAATACCTCAGTTGATCTCTAGCAATCCGTCGATTCTTTCGAAGCAACACACTAGCATCATATGGAGTTGGAGAAGGTGTGCAGTCGCTATACCCAAAACGACTCAAGACCTTTTCCACATAGTGAGACTGAAGCAGTGTGATCCCACCATTCTCATATCTCAACAGCTTGATATTTAAGATAACATCAGCTACTCCTAGATCCTTCATCTCAAAACAGCGAGATAAGAAATCCTTAACCTCCTTGATTAAATCAAGTTTGGTTCCAAAGATCAATATGTCGTCGACATACAGACAAAGAATAACTCCTTCGCCCCCACCATAGCGATAGTACACACACTTGTCACCATCGTTTACTACAAAGCCGGCAATAGTTAATGTTCTTTCGAACTTCTCATGCCACTCCTTAGGAGCTTGTTTAAGGCCATATAAAGACTTTAATAACTTGCACACCTTTTCTTCCTGACCAGGTACTACAAAACCATCTGGCTGATCCATGTAAATTTCCTCCTTCAACTCTCCATTGAGGAAAGCCGTCTTAATGTCCATTTGATGAATGAGAAGACCATGTGAGGCAGCCAGTGATAGTAGCACCAGAATTGTAGTTAGTCTAGCCACGTGTGAGTAAGTATCAAAGAAGTCTTCACCTTCTTTCTGGGTATAATCCTTGGCCACAAGTCGTGCCTTGTACTTTTTAATCGTACCATCAGATCTAAGCTTCTTCTTGAACACCCACTTACATCCTACAGGTTTGCACCCATAAGGACGGTCAGTGATCTCCCAGGTACGGTTAGCTAAGATAGAATCCATCTCGCTACGTACAGCTTCCTTCCAGTAGTCAGCATCAGGAGATGCATAGGCTTCTGAAATAGTCCTGGGTGTGTCATCCACGAGGTACACAATGAAATCATCACCAAAGGACTTTGCAGTCCTTTGTCTCTTACTCCTCACAGGAGTTCCATTGTCACCCTCAACAGGATTCTCAACGTGTTCCATCGCAATGGTGGGTTCAGGAATTACAACGAATTCCTCACTAGATGGAGTAGGTATCTCCTGATTTGATGAACTCGATATATCCTTCATAGGAAATATGTCCTCAAAGAAAGTTGCACCATGCGACTCCATAATCGTACCAACATGCATGTCGGATACCTCAGATTTTATTATCAAAAATTTATAGCCGATGCTATGAAAAGCATAGCCCAGAAGAACACAATCCACGACTTTTGGTCCAAGCTTGCGCTTCTTGGGAATTGGTATATTGACTTTCGCCAAACAACCCCAAATGCGTAGGTAAGAGAGTTTCAACCTTTTTCCTTTCCCATTCCTCAAATGGAGTCATGGTCTTATGCTTTGTGGGAACTCGGTTTAGGACATGACACACAGTCATTAGCGCCTCCCCCCACCATTCCTTGGATAGACCCGAAGTGTCTAACATGATGTTAACCATATCAGTTAGAGTTCAGTTCTTTCTTTCGGCTACCCCATTTGATTGGGGTGAGTAGGGAGGCGTCCTCTCATGGATTATACCATGTTCCGCACAAAACAAATCAAATTCATTGGAAAAATACTCTCCACCATGATTGGACCTAAGCCGTTTAATTTTTCGATCAAGTCAGTTCTCTGCCTCAGCTTTATAGTTTTTGAAGAAAGTCAAAGCCTCATCTTTTTATTTCAGAAGATACACATAACAATATCTAGTAGATTCATCAATCAATGTCATGAAGTATCTCTTTCCATCTTTTGTCAACACGCCATTCATCTCACAAAGATCAGAATGTATAAGCTCTAGTGGCGCCAAGTCTCTTGCCTCTGCAGTCTTATGGGACTTGCGAGGTTGCTTAGCTTGCACACATACTTGGCACTTAGAGTCTTTGACGGAAGAGATTTTCGGAATTAAATTCATATTGGCTAGCCGCGTCATGCAACCAAAGTTAATGTGACAAAGTCGTGAATGCAAAATATCAGACTCATTGTTGTGGCAAACATTATTAATAACTTTAGTGCAAATATCTGACAAAGACAGGCGGAACAAGTCTCCACTCTCATAGCCTTTTCCAGCAAATTGTCCATACTTAGAAATTACAACTTTATTGAATTCGAAAACCAACTTAAAACCATCTCGACATAAATGGGAACCGTTAACGAGATTTTTATTGATGGACGACACATGATGAGCGTTCTTCAGACGCACGGTCTTCTCCGAAGTAAACTTTAGATCGACCGTACCAACACCTCGAACGATGGCATGTGACTCGTTCCCCATCAGCACCGGAGAAGTCCCAGTGGCCTGGTAAGAAGAAAACATGGAGGCGTCAGCACAAACATGTACATTGGCACCGGTGTCAATTAACCAATCAGGGGATTGAAATACTGAAAGGATGGTAGGAAAAATACCGTACCCTAATTCCTTCATATCAGTATCACCGATGACAACATTAGCGGACTTGCCGCTCTTCTCATGTTTGCGCTGCGCTCCTCAAAGCGGTTAGGACACTTCGGAGCCCAGTGATTAGGATCACCGCAGACATGGCAAAGTCCCTTCCCCTTCTTATGAGAATTCTTCTTGAAGTTGGTAGAATGTGATGGATTGTTCTTTGTATCAAACTTGCCTTTGCCCTGAGTTTTGTTCTTGTTGTTTTTGAACTTGTTGGGCTGAAAGTTCTTCTTCTGTACCATGTGGGCACTAGAACCTCCCTCAGCAACTCGAGTACGTGTGTCCTTTGCTCTCGCCTTCTCTTCAACATCAAGAGTACCAATGAGATCCGCAATGGAAAACTCCTGTCTCTATTGTTTCAGGGAAGTAGCAAAATTGTTCCACGAAGGTGGAAGCTTGGCAATGATGCCTCCGGCAACAAATTTGTCTGGCAACACACACTTGAAGTATTCAAGTTCTTTTGCGAGCGACTGTATCTCATGAGCCTGCTGTACAACAGCGCGCTCGTCAGTCATCTTGTAGTCATAGAATTGCTCCATGACGTACAACTCGCTGCCGGCGTCCGAGGCACCAAACTTGGCCTCGAGCGCAGCCCACATGTCCTTGCGGTTGTCAAACGACATATACGAATCCACATTGGAGTCATCAAGAACACTCAGAAGAGCGCCTTCAAAGAGGGTATCGATCTTCTCAAAAGCTTTCAGTTGTGCTGGATTAAGATCGCTCTCAGGCTTGCCCTTGGTGGCATCATAGCAACCCATGGTCTAAAACCAGTGGACTGCTCTCATGCGCCACCTCTTATATTGTGCCCCCTTAAAGGCAGACGGCTTTAGATGCGCAGCAAAACCACTCGGAGTAAATTGCCTATAATCAGGTTTTTGGATTGTTGGAAATATGAGCAAATTACTACGAGATTTAATCCGAAAAATAGATGATAAATCATGACTACAACAACAGAGATTAAACTAATCATGTGAACTAGCATAGCAGATGAACAGATCACATCTAGGGCACATACTAGAAACATGAATTCTACCACGATTTCGAACTGGAAGGATAGAATCACATACGATGCAGCGGGAGCAGCACCGCCGGCATTGACGTTGTCGCCCATGTCGTCGAGGATGCGGTTGCCGAGATCGGGGAAGAAGTCGTCGTTCGCGAAGTCGTCGCTGCCAGCAGTCGCGCGAGTGAGCTCCTCAAAAACCTGATCGCCCCTCTCCCGTACAGGATCATGAGAGGCGGGGTTTCGGAGGCCCGCTGTCCCTTTTGCCGGTGCACGCCGAAAGAAGGGATGGAGAAGACTTGCTTGGCGGCGCAATGATCTGGAACGGTGGTGAGAAACCATACGAAGCGGCGGCGGCTTGGGTAGACACGTCGTGGCGAGGCGAGGCGTGGCGTGGCGAGGCGAGCAAGGAGGAAGAGCGCGCGTGTAGGTATCCTCTTTTCATGCTCATACAAGTGGTAGAAGAGCCCACCTTATAAAGAGGTGCAACTCTCTCTCAACTTATGTGATGGGACTAAACTTTAGCCCCACTCACTCCACTCACATGTCTTAGAGGGTGTTTAGTTGTGCATATAAAGAGGTGCAACTCTCTCTCAACTTATGAGATGGGACTAAACTTTAGCCCCACTCACTCCACTCACATGTCTTAGAGGGTGTTTAGTTGTGCATGAATGGGCCAAGAGAATTTCAGAATTTTAGTTGGGCTTTGGGCCAAAGGCCTACTAGCAAAATTCCAACAATAAACCCAAAACAGCTAATTAATGCAAATCAAATCAGGCTACCGACACGTAAGAATCCGTTACTATTGCTGAATGATTTACTCTACTTTTAAATTGCTAATTGGCTATACTTTTAAACCAGGCTAGCAAAATAGTGTTCTTCTATGATTATACTTGAGTAACTAGCTCTCCCGCAAAAAAAAGCAGAAAAAAAAACTTGAATAACTAGCTAGAGACAGAGACGAGATCCATCTATATTTACTTGAGTAAAAAGCTAATAGTTATCTTATTGTCAACGAACACACACAAACTAAAAGCTAATAGTTGAGGTGTCTTGTTTCAGAGGTAGTGCACTCTAGTAGTGATTGCAAATGGATACCAAAATCAGTACTAGACACAAGGTTGACCTAGAGCACATGGTGCTTGATGAAAGTGCGGAGCCAACATACCTGCCGTTATCACTTTTACAAGAAATCACAGACAGTTTTTCTGATGATCAACAAATTGGCAGTGGTGGGTTTGCGGTTGTTTATAAGGTACGGATTACTCCTGTCTAGTAAGCTTCCTCATTCCTTATCACAGTTGATGTATAAGATATATGACATATGCACATCACAATCACAAAAAGTAATTCACGTTGTGGTTGCAGGGAACGGTGGGAAAAGGAATGGTCGCTGTGAAGAAGCTGTCCATAACAATTGACATGCATGAGAATAAATTCCACAAAGAGGTCGAGTGCCTAATGAAGGCCAAGCACAAGAACATAGTTCGTTTTTTGGGGTATTGTTCTGACACGCAAGGGATGGTGGGGGACTATGACGGGAAATTTGTCATGGCAGATCTACGAAACTGGGTGCTATGTTTTGAGTGCATACGTAAAGGAAGTCTCGATAAGTATATTACCGGTATGATTGTGAAGCTTATTTCTACATTTTTTCCAGGTCACTACATAGTTCTAGCATGCCATATTTTGTGATAGTCCTAGCATATCATATTTTTGTGATGACGTGGTCATGGTCAAGCGTACCTTATTGCGTGTTGGGGGGCACATGAAGGAGTCAACAAGGCAGCCATACAAAGGTGTTGGCAATGCCTATACCAATGTGTCGGCACCGGACAAATCCTTGGGTGGTGGTAGAGATGTCATATTTTCCTCCGGCACAACGATGAGCTAGACGGGGCATGGATATGGTGGCGGCAGCAGGACAGTCCTCTCCCCCTCATTCTCGGGTGCGGCGGTGAGGCCAGGATCAACCGTGGTGACAATCACTATTGTACCGTCAGGAAGGCGACAAACACAAATGGCAGTGTCACTGCCTATGATTGTTGGAGAGGGGTGGGCTCGTTGGGGGAGAACCTTGGCGGAGCTTAGTGCACACCAAACTGGCCGTCACACCCTCCCTAGAGTAGGAGATCTCTTCATGTGTCC